GTCCTGCAGGCCGCAGGGGCCCCACCATTATCTGGAAATTTATACCAACTGCCATAACTGCCTTCCATAAAACCAGAACTTGAAATAGCCTTTATTTTTTTTTTTTTGAAGAAAGTGGAAATACCAAGAGGTATGAGATACTATTGCTATTCTTATGAAGGGTTTGAGTTGTTACAAAACAACTTACTTCTCTGCTCATCCTTGCCTCCTTCCTGGGAGGAGATTTTCTGAAATTAGACCTCCTAATTTCTGAGGCCTCCAGGACATAACACCATCATGAAGACAGCTCTATGATAGAGAAGCTATTGCTTGTTTTCCTATATATCCCCTTACTAGCTTTCTGAGTGGATAACTGGGTCTGTGTGGCTCCGCACTCTCTTGCCTGAAGAAGCCTCACCGACATTGTGCCCACGCCAGGTTGAGTACTCGCGTGGGTCCTCCTCCCTCGCGACCCTTCCACAGACGGTCCTTCCACTGTCATCAGTTCAAACGTCACTTTAACAGGGTGCAGCCAAGGTCCCTGAAAAGGGGAGATCTGGGAGAAGATTTCAGAGGTCCTGGCTCCTTTTCTGGGTCTCTTTGCCTATTCTGTCTTTCTCGGATGAAGTCTGGGCTCTGTGCCTCTTAAGAGTGAGTATGAGGGGATTCACTGAGTCCAGTTCACTGTCCAGGACCCACCTCAGGCAACTTAGAACTGTCAGTCCAGTTGGAGACCTTGTTGAGCTTTTTCATGTTGGGACCATGGAGGGATTGGTTTGCGTCCAGAGGAGGGAGCTGTAATAGTGCAGTAAGGAGAACCTGGGGCTTACTTCAAAGCTCCAAGAGTGTTAATGCAGGTGTGTTCTTCAGTGACAGTTGTCACAGTGACCCTGGGAGACACTTGTGTGTCTCTGCACTATCAGAGGTCATCCCAGAGTTCCCTTATCTCAAGCAAGCTGCATATCTGGCCATCTGAGCTTTGGCAAAGTTTGTTTTGTGGTGCTTCTATCTTGGGCTATATCTTATTTGTCTGTAAGTGATTACCCTCCTCAGTACCGTAATCTTTGATGTGGTTTACATGAACAGAAACTTGTCACTATGTGAATTGTTATATTCCCACTCACTCGTTCCATCAAAACTAAGGAAAGTAGTAATATTCCCTTGCACCCTGCACTTGCCCCTACAACTCCCCTAAATCATATTCATCCATAAAAGCTGGGCCTAAATTCTAATAGTCCAAAAAGGCTTCTGTGATGACTCTAGATCATACTTTTGCTCTCTGTTTTCTAAAATATTATGGAAATTTGAACCAGTTATTTGTTTAAGAAATAACAAGTGCCCAGAGTGTGAAAAGTATTAGGAGAAGTATTCCTATTGGAAAACTGAATCATTTGTATTTGTCCTCAAGCTGCTTATAGAAAAGCAGGGTAGATACGCTCTATAGACAAAGGATTTAGCTAGAAACTAAGCAGTAATGAGGTCCATGAAATAATAAGTAGTGGGACTTTAGAGGGTTGGGGGGTGGCAGAAGTGGGGAGATAGAGCGAAGGAATGTGCAATTGACTTTAGAGATAGGGAAGTTTCTAGGAAGCATTAATTTAGCAACCCGCATATGAGTCAAGTCTTGAAATACTTGGGCATAAGGAATGCCCATTTTTTGGAAATAAACTGTTACAGGTAGAGAAAATAGCATGAGCAAGGAGGTAGAAAATCACAGGGTCACAATCTAATACTTGTGTTAAAATGTACCCAAAAGGGAAAATGTAATTGTTTGATAATATAGGTTAAAAAGTTGTTATCCATCCAATTGGCAAAGCGTTTATCATCAACTTTATCAATGACAATCAAATCTGATGATTACAGTCTCCAGACACATTACTATTGATACGATTTCATTATTTTAAGGATATTTGGAAATCACCAAGTCTAAATTTTCATTCCTGCAGTATCTCCTCTGCTCCTTACCAATGACCTGAACACACAATGGAGACCTTATTTGGGAGGTTGGTCATTGAGATCACTCAAATTGGAAACATCTTGCTGTACTACAGTCTCCACTGAAAGGCATGTTACTCACTTGAAATTGTGGGTCAGTCTGTAGTTACTGCCTTGCCCACAAGCCTGAGTGGAGGTGTCTTGTGGAAGAAGGGGGTCTATGAAGCTGGAAGACCTGGTGAAGGATAAAAGCAATGAGGAAGAGAGCAATGAGCCATTATCCAACCTCTCACATTAGAGGTTCCTCTGCTGGCTGGATATTGGAACAACCTGGGAAATTTCAATAGCACGCCATAGCCAGACACCGCCCATTAAACCAACTGAATCAGAATCTTGGTGAAAGGCCCAGGCATGATCACTGTCTGCTAAAGCTTCCCAGGTGATTCCAATAATCTAGTCCAAACAAGGGATTAGCTGAAAATTTGAACCACCAAACCTTGGTAAGACATCTTAAATTTTCTGTTCCCCCCCACTTTTGTATGTATTAATATTATAATATTAATAAATTAATATTAATTATTTTATATTTTACATCATTGTTCATTTTTGTACAATGTTTGCTTTCTCCTCTCAGGTGTAGTCCCGGTAAAATTTCCACCACCAAGTCACCCGTGAACCATCACCATAGTCCCTTGTGCTCGTCTCTCCCCTGTAATCTGTCTCTTCAAAATTCCCACTTCTCCCTTTGGAATTATGAATAAAAGTAAAATGAGAAAAGACTATGTGTTAAATCTGAAGGAATAAGCTGGTAGTTGGAAGTGCTCCTTCAGGGGTTTTCAAAAACAGAGGTGATGATGTGTGAGTGCTAAATAGTGATGGTGCACGGGAGAATTGGTGATGGGAATTTTGCCAGGACTATACCTGAAAAGAGAAAGCATGTATTGTACAAAAAGGAAGAATGATGTAAAATATATATAAAATAAAATAAAATAAAATAAAAATATATGGTCATCCGGTCCCACCCTAGGAATTGTGACTTAATTGGTCTGGGTTGGAGTCTGGATATCAGAAACTTCTACATCATTCTAATATACAGCCAGCATTGAGATTTAACTGTCACACATTGTAACACAGCACCAGAGTGGCATGACTGTCTGGGTCATTTCTTAGTGGTTGGAGAGAAAAGGAAGGTCATGTCTGAGAAATGACTTCATGGTTTTTAATGACTAAGACCCATAAAATCATTTTAAGACCCATAAAGTCGTGGCAGTGGTGGGATCAGAGGCTCACTAGAGCGAGGCCATATCCTCGGTGACTGGAGAAAAGAACACATCACCTCAGATTATCAGAAGAAAGGCTCTTGCTGCTTAGTTAAAGGACAGCTAGTCACAAGAAATGGAGTATGGTTGAAAATAAAAGTGATTGGGGCAGGTCTGACAACACCCAGGACCCACCCAATGGCAAGTGGCTCTGAGATTTACAAAGACATAGTCCTGGAGAGAGTGGTAATAGTTCAGCCATTCATAAGCAGCATATTAATTATCATAAAATAATATAGTAATTTGTAAATTTAAAAACCACAAGGGAAAAAAAAGAAACCCTCTATATTACTATGACTCTATGAGAACCAGTATAACATCGGTAGTGTATGTTATTATATGGAGATCAACTTTTAGAAAGTAGAGTTTATTCTCTTTCCCTTGTTTAACCTCATGCCACAAGAATTTACCTGTGTTTATTTTTTTAAGGTTTTTTTGTTGTTGTTGTTAATGTAGAGTTTTAAATTGTGTTTTCTAGCTTACCTGGGCTACGTCTCATTCAGCTATTTTGTCTGCTTGGATCACACTGAGACCAGATAATCCTTTCATCAATCTATGCACTCAAGTTCCACTTTTATGAACAAAGGATTTAGTCCTTTTTTAGTGACTACATTCCTAGACAGTCATCCTATCAGTTACACTGTTATAGTATCTCTGATTTCTGGGGTGTTCTTAACCACTCTTGCCCTAAATCTCACCATACCTGGTCAGGTCCTCATCACACTTGACACTTTTTTTCAGAGTTATCAGACTGACTACTTCCCAGCCTTGACTCAGAGTATTCTATGCAAGAGAATAACCCTACCTTTTGTAGAGTTCTAGCTCTGCTTTTACATGGGCAGTACAGAGGCATTTATAATTTTTTGATCAGGAGTTAATTATACGATCCAAGAGACTTAGCTCAATCTGGTCATGTATTTGCCTGCTTCCTTTGAGGACATCTCCTCAGAACCATTGGTCAATCTATCATGACTGAGTCAAGGGCAACTGGAAGACCAGTGACTGTCAGTGCACTAAACTAACTGCTCCTACCAGCAACCAATCCTCGGGTCATGCTTACATTTTGTTTTCAGAGGTTGGTATCAGACACTGTAAATTGAAAAAATAACTTTAAATTAAGCTGTTATTCAAAGTCCAGCATAAGGGTTCAATTTTAGCAACATGAAAACTGTCAACTTTTTGACCAATGGGTTTTGAACTTAGAGTTTACAGTATGTCTCTCATCTTGCAGAAATGTACCTAACTGGACTATCTCATAACCCTATCATGGGTATCTTCTCCCTGATTCTTGACATATCTTCGCTTGAAATTCATTATTTTTAGAAGCTTCAAAATGTAGGTTATATTTTCAAATAATTTCTAGTTTCTCTGGAAATGACATTAATTTTTCTATTTTGAAATATGTTCATTATTTGGGCTGATTCTTCAAGTAAAATAGGGACATGCCTGCTTGACCTCATTACATTTAGAAAGGACGTCTGCTCTTATCTTGATTTATTTTCCCAACTATTGTGACCCTTTTAAGCTAGCATAAGATGGGAGGGATAAAGTGGTGATAGCTTTGTGCAACTCAACAGAGAGGAGAGCAAAGGCGCTGCAATGATGGAGGAGGCTGGTGATCAAGTGTGACCCGGGTAGTGGAAAACTCATCAACTGACAGCTGGGAAACTTTCTATGGGGCTTAGAACGTGGGTGTTTTAAGACATTATGTTGAATAAATTAAGTAAGTGGACTGACACTTCCCCTTTTTGGACATTTCCTTACAAGGACTCATGGATCCAGACATTGAGACCAACAGGACAACTGTGACTGAATTTATTCTTCTGGGCCTTGTGGAAACAGAAAAGCTTCAGTCTGTGGTGTTTGTCATCTTCCTTTTTGCTTATCTGGTCACAGTTGGAGGCAACCTCAGCATCCTAGCAGCCATTGTGGTAGAGCCCAAACTCCACACCCCCATGTACTTCTTCCTGGGGAACCTGTCAGCTCTGGATATTGGATGCATCACTGTCACTGTTCCTGCAATGTTGAGTCGTCTCCTGTCCCACAAACGTACAATTTCCTATGGAGCCTGCCTCTCTCAACTTTTCTTCTTCCACCTTCTGGTTGGGGTGGACTGCTTCCTATTGACAGCCATGGCCTATGACCGATTCCTGGCCATCTGCCGGCCCCTCACCTACAGCACCCACATGAGCCTGACAATTCAGAGGATACTGGTGGCTGCATCCTGGGCTTGTGCCCTCTCCAATGCGCTGACCCACACTATTGCCTTAACTACCCTTGACTTCTGTGGTCCCAATGAATCCAACCACTTCTACTGTGACCTCCCACAGCTCTTCCCGCTGTCCTGCTCCAGCACCCAACTCAATGAGCTGCTGCTCTTTGGTCTGGGTTTCATAATGGCAGGCTCACCTGTGGTTCTCATCATCACCTCCTATGCCCATGTGGCAGCTGCGGTTCTACGAATCCGCTCAGCAGAGGGCCGGAAGAAGGCCTTCTCCACATGTGGCTCCCACCTCACTGTGGTTTGCCTCTTCTATGGGACCGGTATCTTCAACTACATGCGTCTGGGTTCAGAAGAGGCTTCGGACAAGGATAAAGGGGTTGGAGTTTTCAACACAGTTATCAACCCTATGCTGAACCCATTTATCTACAGCCTTAGAAATCCAGATGTTCAAGGTGCCCTGTTGCGGGTATTTGTGGGGCGGCGGCCTGCCGGGTAACCGGGTCCCTCCTTTTTGCCTTTTCTGGGTTGAGAAACATTTCCCATGAAGGCATTAGCCTGATTCCTGAAGTTTTGCGTGATGTGTTTGTTCTGCAAAGAAACCCTATGGATTCTGTTCCTTTTTATTGATAGCTATTGAATTGTTTCTATATTCAGGTGCTTTTTAGGGCACTTGTGAACAAAATGGACAAGATTCTGCACTTATGCAACTTAAGTTCAAATGGAGACACAATAAATGAAATAAATAAGTACCATATACAGTATATCATGTAGTGATAAGCACTATAGAGAAAAACGGATAAGACAGGGGATGTGAAATTAGAGTTTGCCATGCAAGTTCTCTGGGAAAGTTTTGCTTGCGTTTGGCTGTGCTCACTTTCTGGATGAGTTGAAGCCTTGGAAATCCACTAGTTCCGCAAAACAATGCTTGTAAGAAAGGGTTATGTTTGGTTAAACACTAAAGATTTTTTCTGGTGGGGTTGTGAGATTCCAGTAGACCAGAGTGCAGAAAGCTGTTTAAAATCACAAGCCCATTCTTATGTTGACCCTTCACCTGTAAGAAAATCAGGTCCTTGGGCCTCCCTGTGGTGTAGGGGTTAAAGACAGCACTATCAAACTGTCACAAGCCACTGCAGCAGAGTTTTTTTTTTTTTTTAAATAGAGGCATGTTTTTATTTATTTATTTATTTGTTTGTTTTGTTTACACATGCACTGGGTACAGTCAGAAGCGCAGGAGGGTGAGAGAATTCACCAGAGCTAGAGCGGGGAGCAGAGCAGGCAGAAGGACCGAAGTACACTGCTGAGGGGAGCAGTGGGCAGCAGGAGAGGTCTGTGCGCCATGTGGGACCCTCCTCCTGTGGCCGGGGAGCAGCCGGGGATCTAACCGGCGCCGCAGAGGCCGAGGGCAGCTTCGCAACCCAGAGCTCAACCGCTGCGCCACCGGGGAGGCCCTGCAGCAGAGTTTGATCCCTGGCCCGCCAGGGAGCAACCCATATGGCACAGCAGACCTCTCCTGACTCGCCTGCTGCTCCCCTCAGCAGTGTATTTCAGTCCATCTTCCTGTTCTGTTCCCCACTCTGTCTCTGGTGGATCCTCTCAACCCCCACACCCCTGGTCTGTACCCCAGTTCTTGTATGCATAAATAAATAAATCTTAAAAAAACTGAATATACTGAAATACACTGCTGAGGGGAGCAGGGGGCAAGTCTGCAGCTGTGACATGTGGGTGGCTCCCTGGCTGGGGATGGAACTCGTGCTGCAGTGGCTGCGGACAGCTTCATAGGCTGCGTCTTAACCCCTCATGCCACCAGGGTCACCCTTGTCCACAGTGTTCTTGAATGGATTTCTGTACCTCCTCTGGGCTTGTACTTGGCAGAGGCAGAAGATAATCATCAAGGTTTCTCCATCGCTGATGTTCTGCTTCTACTAGTCTGAGTGAACACAGAGACTGTCTCACTCTGTCTACCCTGAGAGTTACCACATCTTCTACCATCACCTCTACCCACTGGCATTTAACACTGTTGCAAAACAGAGTTTATTGTCTCCTTCCAAATACTTCTGTGACCCTAACCTGCCCCGTGAACACTCATCTAAAACATAAAGGGAGGATGTTGTGTGGCATCCTCCCTGGGGTTGGAGGGACCGATTGGTTCAGTTTCACAAAGAATGATCAAGGACATTGATCCTCAGTATTCTGTCCCCCAACCAGAATCATTGAGCTCCTTTAACAATCTGGAAGTTCCCCTTTATTTGGAATTTGTCCCCTGTTTTTTGTTCCCAAGTGGAAATCATTGCTACTTTAAAATTCTTTCGTGTATGTAATATATCATGTTATAAAAGTTGAAACAATGCAGAATGTCATCAACAGCTTTTCAAAGCATCCCCACAATAATCCCATTCTTTCAAAGTAAATATTATAACAGCTGGTGTTTAGCTGTTCCGTTGTGTGAGCACACATTTCTTGGAAACTCACTACTTTGCAATCTGCCTTTTCCCTGGCCACATTACATAGTAGAGTTCTTCATGTGTCAGCTTTCCAATCTATTTTATTCATTTTAATGCACCTCGACATTTCATTTTATGTACAAAATATAATCTATTTGACTATCCCTCTGTTGATACAACTCATTTTTTTCTTTTTTAAATTTCTAATAACACTGGGATGAATATTCTTATTTATCTATCTTTCCACACATTCAAATTATTTCCACAGGTCAAATTCATGAACATAATGTGGGTGTGTGTGTGCACTACCATACTAAGGAAATGCAAGAATAAAAATTCATAAATATCTGCTTTTCTCTCCGTCCAAAAACGAATACTCTTTTACATGGACAGTTTATGAGAAGACCTGTTACCTCACTTGTTGACATCACTGGGTACTATAAATTGAATATTTTGTCTTTGATAATTAGATAAAATTTTAGATTATTTTAAAATTTGATCATCTTTGTTTATGAGTATAGGTCATAGATTTTTAACATATTTATTTGTTATTTATATTTACTTTCAAAATTGTCTGCTCATGCTTTTGTTCCTTTGAGGGTAGTTTATCTTAATGATTGGTGGAAACACTTCATGTTTTAGGATATTATCTCTATTATATATGCTGAAAATATCTCCTCAATTTCCCAGTTGTTTTTGGCTTTGTTTTTGGGTGTCTTGTCCAAATTAAGTTTAAGATTTTTATGAATTTTATTTTCTTTGTTTTGTATCATGCATAGAAATGACTTTTACATCTAAATGCTGTATAAATATTTGTCAACAATGATTTTTTAATGCCTTTTCATTTCTTTTTAAGTCAAATATTTAATATACAAAAAATTTATTTTTGTGTATGTTGTAACTTTTGCACCAGTTGATAAAACTTTCCACAATGTCATAAAATGTTCCAAATTTGATCAGTTTGATCACATATACAGTATATGTGATACATACAGTATATTACACACACCAACGCACACACACACACACACACGATGTAATAATTGTCAGCAAGTAGGCAGAAGAGGAGTTTCCTCCACTTATATCCCCCCTTCAGCAACAATATTTTGGCAGCCTTCCTCAGACATCAGTGCCTTTTGGGAGCTTTGGGATGTAAGTAGAGGTTGTGAGATGCTGGTGGAGCCCAAGCCTGAGGGGGGCTATTTTGAGAAGGTTGGCCTGTACCTTTGCAGGCTCACTGACAGAAGTCCCAGAAAGAGACCTGGACATATCCCTGTCCCTTTTTGGACTGGGTGATAGCCCCATTGGTCTTGTTCCTGGCATCAGGAACAACTGCCAAGGGGCCCAGCAGCTATCATGCCTAGCTGAGACCCTGTTAGCAGGCTTGCCAACCCTGGTCTTGGCTGTGGATGCGAAAGTGACTGGTGACCCAACTCCAGCTGCTCTTTGTTGCCAATCCTGCCCACCCAGGGATGAGGCAAGACACAGACCATCCATGACCTTGAAACACGAATTCAACCTCAACCATAGCGTAGATGCTGAAACAGCCTTATATCTTGACTTCAGCACCTTGTAGTTATGGGCCAGAAACACTCCTACCTGTCCAGGGGCCACATAGATACCTTTTTCTGTTCCCCCTCAGGCAGGTCTGTTGACCTCAGTCTGACACAGATCTTGAAGGTGCCCCAAGCCAGCTCCTGCTCCTTGAATTGGTAGGCTGAGAACCTTTCTTCTACCTGGGGACCTGGACAAAGACACACTCTCAGAGATAGGGCTGCCAGACTTGGTCTGATTGTGGGCCTTAATGAGGCTCTAATACTAAGCAAAATCTAGTCTCTCAGTCTCAGTCCAAGAGTGGCCCTGTCCATGAAGGGACCTGGAGGGAAACATGCTCCTCCAGGCCTCTGAAGGAACAGAATAAAGGTCCAGAAACAAATCCACAAAACTGTCTAAGCACCTGGTCCACACAAGCGTGTTGGTAGGAGCTTCCCAGGGGTCCCTCCAGCACCGGAGGCCTCTTCTGTCACCATGTTGGGAATCATTACAGTATCCCCAAGACAGAGTCTCACCCTGCTAACAAAGCCCCGAGGGAGAGCGCAGTGTTCCAGAGGGTACATTGATAGCAGACAGGGTTTGAAGAAAGCTTCTGCCCCTTGCCTCATCCTCAGGTCCAAGGCAAGTCTGGAAATTAGCTCTCTGTCAGAAGGCCCTACTTGGTTTCCTTAGGAAACCTGTATCTAGTCTCAATTACACCTCTAGCTTCCTGGGAGACTTCTAGGATATGGACAAGTCCTGCAGGCCGCAGGGGCCCCACCATTATCTGGAAATTTATACCAACTGCCGTAACTGCCTGCCATAAAACCAGAGCTTGAAATAGCCTTTTGTGTTATTTTTTTGAAGAAAGTGGAAATACCAAGAGGTATGAGATACTATTTGCTATTCTTATGAAGGGTTTGAGTTGTTACAAAACAACTTACTTCTCTGCTCATCCTTGCCTCCTTCCTGGGAGGAGATTTTCTGAAATTAGACCTCCTAATTTCTGAGGCCTCCAGGAGATATCACCATCATGAAGACAGCTCTATGATAGAGAAGCTATTGGCTTGTTTTCCTATATATCCCCTTACTAGCTTTCTGAGTGGATAACTGGGTCTGTGTGGCTCTGCACTCTCTTGCCTGAAGAAGCCTCACAGACTTTGTGCCCATGCCTGGTTGAGTACTGGCGTGGTCCTCCTCCTGCTCTTACAGAACAGACGGCCCTTCCATTGTCATCAGCTCAAACGTCACTTTAACAGGGTGCAGCCAAGGTCCCTGAAAAGGGAAGATCTGGGAGAAGATTTCAGAGGTCCTGGCTCTTTTTCTGGGTCTCTTTGCCTATTCTGTCTTTCTTGGATGAAGTCTGGGCTCTGTGTCTCTTAAGAGTGAGTATGAGGGGATTCACTGAGTCCAGTTCACTGTCCAGGACCCACCTCAGGCAACTTAGAAACTTCAGTCCAGTTGGAGACCTTGTTGAACCTTTTCATGTTGGGACCATGGAGGGATTGGTTTGCGTCCAGAGGAGGGAGCTGTAATAATGCTGTATAGAGAACCTGGGGCTTATTTCAAAGCTCCAAGAGTGTTAATGCAGGTGTGTTCTTCAGTGACAGTTGTCACAGTGACCCTGCGAGACACTTGTGTGTCTCTGCACTATCAGAGGTCATCCCAGAGTTCCCTTATCTCAAGCAAGCTGCATATCTGGC